CAGAGGGTATCCCATAAAAATAACTGTTAGTTGGGCCACTATCTATTATTACCCTCTGGTGAACTAACATAGCAATGGAAAATCACCATTTTTCATGGGAAAATCCACTATAAATGGCCATTTTCCATTGCTATGTTAGTTCACCAGAGGGTAACCATTATTAACCATGATTTTGAGTTGGCTGTTGAAGTCCAATCGATCTCGACTCACGGTTAAAACGCGTCCCTGGCGGCCTGGCTTGGCCTGGCTATGGCTGCATACCTTGTCACATCGATCCATTCATAGATTGATTATATTAACTGGTTATCTCAGTTATTAGGATTTGTTTGCATCCAGTCTAAAATGGGGATAGAATTTTGATACTAACGATTATTAATGATATATAATGATATATGATGATATACAGGGGATCTACAATAGTATATAATGATATATAATGGGTATATATCACCAATAAGGATCAATGATGAACTGCTTCGTGGTCTGGAATATATGGATGATGTTCCTACTTGGATGATGCCATCAAATCTGGGGATGGTGACAGGTCGTTGGAGGGGGGATGGAATAGATATGGATCCCCCTCTTAGTACTCGTCACTGAACTGGTGTACTGAGATGTGGAGTACTCCACAAGGGATATACTGCAGTTGCTACTCTTTTTTAATGTTAAGAGAGGTTACTCTATATAGATATATATGGATTTCAAACAAGGCAACATGGGGGTTCGAGGCCGCAGACGAAATCAACATTTGCAGCAGTCCATTGGATTTTTCCACCCTCGCAGTGATTTGTGAACATTGTAAGTTTCGAACTTGCCACGAAATGCCATGAGGACGGCGCCCAAAACAGAGTTTAAATGATATTTGCAGGGGATTGTGTGCCCTGTCCTATCCCAAACTTTATTTCTTGTTTACATCCTCAGTTTTTCAGCTCCGAAGCCAAAAGCTGCAACAGGTTCTTTTGTACATTGTTCTTTCGCCATACATATTGATATGATTCGCCATGCATATGTAAATGAACCATGAGGAGCGTAGTATCAAGAACGTGAATAAACCTTGCACCGGATGCAACGCATCATAACGCATCCCACTAAAGGAATGATTCCTTTGGATCTAAAAAGCACCAGCAAAATATAAAAATGTACAAATTATCAGGGGCCCCGAATCGGCCCCGAATCCCCATGTAACCACAAATAAGCTAGCATGACATATCGTACGAACAGAATCTGACATGTTTGTTAACATATATTAAGAGTTACCCTCTGGTAAATTAACATAGACCCTGGCAGATAGGGTTTGGAGGACTAGTTTCCACTATAAATTGGTCATTTTCAGGGTCTATGTTAATTTACAAGGGTATCAATCTATATTCTGACACATCTATTGGCAACACAGATTTAAAAAAACGACACATATTCTGACATGATCTGACAATATCTGACATATGTGTTCAATTGTTTTGACACCTATATAACATGTACCTGACATGTATTGTTCGGATGTGCAATAGCATAGTCTGACATATATATATATATATTCAATATATTCTGTGATATACTTCAACAATCCCAAATGTATATCGTCATTTTTATCTATAAGATAGCCTGGAATTATTTTATAGAGTATACATATAGAATTATATACACATAAACATGTATTCTGGGATATGTACTGGGATATGTACTGGGATATATTCTGAAAAATCTTTATCTGCACTTTATCTTGGGGTGTGGTTCTTGAGCATCCCAAATCACGGTATTTTCCAATGATGAGTCGTTCGAGGGAAATGCAGCCCCGATTCCCATGGTCATGTTGAGGCCAGCCCGGGGTTCTTTTTTTCGGAGATCGGCAAGCGAGGAAAAGAGCGCAAGCCTGGCCATGGCGGCCATGGCATGACCTCCGCGCAACCAGATGTTTGATCATTTCTTGTTTTGGAATGGGCACTAACAGAGAGTTTTTGGCATGTTAAAAATGCAAATCAAGTGGAGCCACGACTTGCGCCTTTGTCTGCATTTGCCGTGTTTTTGGAACACTCATATAGGATTATCACCAATTCCAATGGCTTATCATCATTTGTAAAAATGAGGTTTGGGAAGCAACACCCTAACAACAGCGTCTAGGAACACTTCAAATTTGACCCATTCTCACCTCACAAAGATAGGCCCAAGCCAGAATTGGATTGACATTGATAGATTTTGCAGCTTAAACTGTAGGAAAACCTGTGGAAAATCTAAATTTTAGTGGTTTTGGATGGTTTTGGTTTCTGGGCATTTTCCTTTTCACTCTGCTTTCTTGAAAAAAAAAATCAAGCCCGCCGCCCCACACCAGGCGCACTGGACGGCCACGATCAATTTCGACGGAAAAATGAGCGAATGCGATTTGGATCTCTGTCAAATGTGGTTTTTAAGGGGGAAAATGATGATAAAGCAGGGGATTTGGAAATAGCCGATTCTAGCCCGTTACAGTATTCCATGTCTTGAGCTTTCATTTCGACGCACTTTGAACTGGTCTGTGAGCAACATGTCTCGATGTTGTTGGTAGACTGTCACCGCAAGAATTTGCTTTGTAGCTGCTACTGTACCAGTGAGTCTGTCATCACCAGCATTTTTGGCTGAAGGCAGCTGCAACTGTCTCATCAAGGGGAAATCTGGAAAATCCTTAGGTGTTGTTCATGTTACTTTTATTGAACTCTATTGAAGAAAGAAAGCAAGCACAAGCGTGCTTTGGAAGATCCCTTCTCAGAAAATCTCAGAACCCGACCAATGCACCTGACCATATGTTTTAAACAGAATTCCAGACTTCCACATGGTGTTCCACCCTGAACGGCCATAACTAAATGGATGTTTCCTGAAATGGGGTACCCCTAAATCATCCATTTGTAGATGGATTTTCCCGTATGACCCATCCATTTGGGGGTACCACCATTTTTGGAAACTCCCAAATGTTGGAAAGCACTTCAACTCTTTCTGATCTTTCTGCTTCTTGTGGCGGCAGCAAGAATGGCTGTGGCAGAGCGGGCTGCGGCAGCTGCAAATTCAATTGCAGATACGATTGATGATGTCTTGGAAACGATAAAGGTGCGAGTGTGGGGGGTTCAGGTTGGGTCAGAGTACAAAGTGCCCTAAAAATGGAATCGTGAAGAGTTGAGATGCAACTGGTTTGTTTTACACCAAAAAGATGACTAATTATATACGCAGGTGAAAACACACTTGGAATGCCGCATAAAAAGTTGTTCGACCTCTTGGAATTATCAATACTCGTGACAAATTGTGTTTCAAAATGTTGGCATCATCAATTGCTCATCATGTCATTGCTTTTATGATCCCTTCTCACATCAATTGCAAGTCTTGTACTGCTTTGGGTATGCTGTTGATCAAGGTTATTGCCCCCCAAAACCCGCGGACATGACAGGGATGTCAACACAAGGTACGGAGATTGCTGATGGCAGGGATCTGAACATGAGTAAAAACTCTGCGTAGCATATGATTGCTATCCATAGTTCTAAGGGATTGGAGAAGCCTCAATATTATAATCATAGTAATATACAATAATATATATATATATATAATATATATATCCAGAAATACAAATGACCCCAAAAAACGAGGAAATTGGCGGGGGTTACCTGTCCCAGTGCAAAATTATCGTGACGTCGAGACTCACTCCTGGGATGGTGTTTTCTATGCGCCCACGCAGCCGTTGGAGTTCAAGACACCTGGTGTCATCAGAAATGGAGGGATGGTCGCACACCCCAAAACAAGGGGTTTACACATGGCAAGGCCGATTCGAAGATTCTACTCGTATAGAAATCCTGGCTGACCACTTGGCTTCTTGATGGTTTTAGCAGATGGTATTATACCAGTAGCGCCCGGCCGTGCCGGGGCGGAAGTTGCGAAACAGCGAATTGACTACAAGAAATCAATGGCCGATAGGAATGTCTGTGAGATGCAGAAGCAATTAACATGAAAGAATCGATGCACGAATGACATGAATGAATGCATGCAGGCATTAAAAATTGACTGACTGATTGGCTGACTGACTGATTGACTGACTGACTGACTGAATGAATGAATGAATTAGTGCAGGAAGGAAGGAAGGAAGGAAGGAGCCAGCCAATGATTTAATCAATGAATGGATCAATCAATGACTGGGGGAATCAATGAAAGAACCACGGAACGAACAAACGAATGGATGAGTGAGCTACTTCTTTGTTGAGCTACCTCTTCACTGAGCCACCTCTTCGCTGAGGTACCTCTCACCCACTCCTTCCCTGAGTAGCGTCTTATTTGAGCTACTTCTTCTCCAACCCGCTTCTGCTCTGAGCTGCCTCCCTCTCTCAGCTATGTCTTCATGCAGCCATGTCTCTTCGAGCAGCCAACACGATGCATTTTGCAACCTCCAGCTGCAATCGCGAATCGTGGAGGCGTCGCCGCATCACCAACACTTTCCTGCGTGCAGCGGCGCCGATGCTTTTTGTCACACCCAGTTTCAATCCGGCATAAGAGCATCACACCAAAACGGCCAACATGCGCTGCGTTCTACAGTCTCGTGCACATTTTTTCGGCCTCATCTTCCACAAGTGCTCGGAGACCGTCAGTTGTTTAGCATTATTGAACAGCAACGCGAGCTTTCACTTTTGTGCGATAGCTTTTCTAGATCGCCACCTGACCCTGCAGAAACACAGACCCTCCTTTGGAATCCTTTGGATCGTTTGGCGACCTCTGGGTCCACCATACCCGAAAAAGCATAGTGATTCGCGCACTTCTATAGTTTCACGTGCAAATTCACACGATCCCGGATTGTCACTGTGATGTTTCGCTTCCCAACTACTTGGTGGCGCAGTTGACATGATGATGAGGTTGACATGATGATAAGGTTGATATGGTTATGATGGCATGACTGACCATGACCATTCGTCCGTAGCTCGGAAGTTTGCTAACTACGTTTCCTTTGAATTATATAGTTGCGGATGTGGTGTAAAATTATCCTAGATGTTTTCCAAATGCGCATGCCAAAATTGTTGGGGTCATTTCTGCCACCAGCCCTCCATTTCCACGGCGAGAAAATGATGCAGTTCCAGTGGGAACAGCGCGGCGGTCGCCTGAAGTTAGTGGAAGACGATGCCGTTCGTAGTGTTGCCGAGGATGGATAGAGGGGGATCTTGGGCACAGGGGAGCGGCGGAAGGATCATGGTGATATGGACATAAAGGGAGGGATCCACCCCTACAAGGCCAATAATTTTGGCACGGCGATTTTTGGTGCTGCTTCATGGGATTTAACTAACCAACAAACGGGATACAATAAATAAGCAGCCATAAGATATGTGGGTATCTCTGACCATATGGTGATTCCCACGGTGACAATGATGGTTAACCAATGTATGGAATGAGGTACCCTATGTTTAGACATACTCATATTGTACGTGTATGTATGTATATATTTAAAATAGCTGTAAGATGCTGTAAGTCTGTATGATATGGGTGTTCATCGTGTATGTATAATTAATATACGTGTATATATATATAGATAGATAGATACAGAGAGTTGCTAAAGTCGTGCCTAGATTAGTGGGAACCGTTGAAAATAGCTTCGGAGCACTTGATTTTGAAAAGTCGTGCCTTTTTGTGAAACGCATAGGAAATGCATGATTTTCTGGTTCTCATGATCGGATCCATGATTTTATATAAATCCATTTAGATGGTGATTTGGGTTGCGGGCATGACATAGGCATGACTTCCTGGAAATTGCATTTAGATGGGGGAAAGCAGATTTTCAGCACACAGGCGTGACTTAGGCATGAGTTTCGCGCTTTCCTGTATATGGAGTGATTTAAAGTGCTTAGATGTTATGATGTCAAGCAATTTCAAGGTTTGTTAGGGTATATGTGGTTGCTAGGGCGGGTCTGTGATCATATGTCATGATTGATGGGATGTATATTCGAGTTGCTCTGCTACATGCAGCACCCAGGCCCCCGAACCCCGATGGTAAGAAGCGAGCAGAAATTGCCCCTGTAGTTGGTGGATTTGGACGCCATACGTGCAAATTATTGCCCCCGTAATTGGTGAATTGCCCTGTACTTGGTGAATTATTGCCCCACTACTTGTGAATCGTTGTCTCCCAAATTTGTGGCTAACCCGCCATTTCTCCCAGGACGTTGAAGCAGAGAACCTGAAACGGCTGAAGCGACGACAGGCTCAGGCGTGACAAATCATCAATGGTTGAAACTGATGGATCTAATGTGTAGACCTAAGAATAAACAATCCCCGTAACCATGCCGGGGTCATGTTACATCATCCCAAAGAACGGGGTTTTTTCCGTCCCAAATAACGCGGCTTACCCCAGTTTACCTAACAATAGACTTCTCTGGGGGGGATAGTTTTCCACACTACATGCATTACATCCATACACACATTTCATTACATCACCTCACATCACATCACATCACATACACACGCACGCACGCACGCATGCATGCATGCATCCATGCATACATAATCATACATATATTTTTATGTATGGTACGTACCCTCACCCCAAGACCAACCCCATTCCACGTGTTTTCCTCTATATATATATATGTATATGTATATATATATATATATATATGTATATGTAGATATATATATATATACACATATATATATATACATATATATATGTGTGTGTGTGTTTGCATATACACATAAGCCTACATAGCCTTAACTTCATCAATGGTCCTCATTGAGACTGTGTTTCCACAAGATGCAGTCTGCGATGGACATACGATTGCAATTGGAGTTGTTCCAACCAGCAAAAGTCATCACCCTTCAGATCATGGCAAAACCCGGCTCCCTTGCTTGTACGTTTGTTCTATGGGGTTCTTGTGCCCCCCTCTCTCCGGGGTTCTGAAGAGGAGCGGGAGCGCAAACACCGAGCTCGTCGCGATCGAGAGCCACGCCGGCTGCAGATGGGATGGGAGTGTAGCCTCAGAATGACGAAAGATGGGGAACAAACACCGTCGATGGAGCTAGATTGAACGCATTTGCTGTTGACTTGTGATTACTTATGTATATATATATATAATTATATATATATACGATCATATGCTTTTGGGCGCTCATCTAGCTGGACAAATGCCCCGTTTCATGCGTCAGTGGCCGCCCTGGGGCCTGGACGTTCTTCACACCTTTGTGTAGTGAAAGTTTTGCTATGGGGGATGAATTTGTAAGGCGTCTCTTTGAAGCTATGTTCACTTCCCCCCAGCATTTGCTTACATCTGCTTGGTTTCAATGGTGTAGTTTCTTCCATCACAAATTCCCAACAGATCGCAATCAATTCTGCAGGATGTGAAATAACAAAAATCAGCAATCCTTGTTGGTTTCAGGTTGGAGCCATTGGTTCAAGATGAATTTGAAAGGACAACCACTCTGGAATCGGTATAAGATCCTAAAAAAATGTGTTCGGATGGAAAAATGAAAGTCACCTCCATATGTTTTTTAAAAGAGCCACTTTTTGGGGCATACCCCCCTCGGGGGAAAAATGAACCTTGAGAACAGCACTCCAGTTGGATCATCCGTATACGAAATGTACCATGAAATCACTGTACGCTCCGATCCTCCAAAGTGATGATTATTGTCTCCATATGTTTCACTTGTTCCGCTAGTTCCCCAGCTTGTTGTGTCTTGCTGTGTTCCGTCTAGAAATTTTCGACCGGCTTTTTGCCGGTCGTCGCAGGTGGATGAAGACACAGCAGTTCCTAGAGACAAACAACTTCGACTCCGAGAATGTGAATGCCCCCAAGCTCTCATGGTGCCTTGGATCCTGGCGAAGAATTTGGGAAGGTGAACATGAAACATATGAAACCGGAGAAAAAAAACACTGGAAACTCTGACAAAAGAAATCAAAGAGAACGAAAAAAAAAAGTTGGCATGTTGGAATGGGTGTTCTATGTTTGTGTTACTGTTCTTATATCATGTTATATCTAAAGAACAATGCCAGTTGGTTTCGGGTTTTTCACATGGACCCAGTTGTTGTCACATCAGGTTGTGTCAGGTTGAGAGTTCTTTTTTGAGGTGCCACACATTGGGATGAGTTTATAGACTTTTCAGCTAACCAAAATTGTGATTAAGTTATGACAATCTTTACGCATGCTGTGGATCTTTATATATATATATATGTTACATACATTATATGTTTGCACATACATATACGCATATACACATACAGGCACATGTCCTTATATATATACATATATATATATGTGTGTGCACATATGCATATATATATATATGTGCACATGAATACATACACATAAACCAAAAACAACAGACACATGTACATATACACATACACATACGTATGCATATACACATACAGATACATACATGTACATGTATACATATTACACATTACACATTACATATTACATATTACACATTTACATATTACGTATTCCATATTACATATTTTACATACACATATACATACGCATACATATGCATATTAAGTATATCCATATTTTACACATTCATATTTTACATATACATATACATGTACAGAAATATATATGGACACATTCACATACACATATGCATGCAGACACGCAGACATACATACATAAATACCTACATACCTACCTGCCTACTTGCATCCAGACATACATATATGTGGATAGATACAAAGTATCTAGAGCTATCCCAATTATTCAACCAAACACAAGATATTTGAAGTAGCTACATCTGTTTGTTTTCTGGCCTTCTTGGACACCGAGATAACTTGTGAATTATGATCCACCAGAGATCGGCATAGATCCAGCTTCAGAACCAAGGCTTCTTCATGACCTGGTAATTTGTTTCATAGCTTATCTGTCGAAAATCCCCATTGTAATGGGTACACTCTGGTAATTTAACGTAGCTATTGAAAATCATCATTTTTAATGGGTAAATCCACTATAAATGGGCCATTTTCAATAGCTATGTTAGTTTACCAGAGGGTAAATCTATATACACACTATGTTCCCAAACGCAGATGGCTGTAGCCATCCGTTCCCCGCCAGACGAATCCCTGGTGGAAGCTACTGGACCTATTGGTGGGACATGTTTGCATTTATCATGGATATGTATCGTATACACGGAAACATGTGTATATATATATAGATAATATATATGTAATACACATTCATATATCTACAATTATCTACATATATATTAGATTATATTAGTGTATTGTTTTTTATACAGGTTTAAGCATTAACTTTATTAAGCAATTATCATTTCATTACGATCCCGGAGATATCGCTTGGCAGTTTTTTAATCACCGGTCACGGTTTCACCAGGTTTGAACGAAGAGATTCACTACGCTAGCGTACCGTGCATAACATATATACCGTACATTAGACATCATTAGACCTGGATATTGATACACACACATATATATATATATACATGGTCACCCCTCTACATTGAGGAGAGAGAGAGAGAGAGATGCCGTAAATGTACATACATATCTATATATATATATTATCATATTATATCATATTATATTATGTTATATTATATTATGTGAAGATACATGTGTAAGATCTATGATGATGTAGAGCTAGTAAATTCCCAGTTCGACCCTGCCAGAGCTTTAGTTGACACTCCGCGGGACACTTACCTCGGCGCGAGGTGGGGATTCAAGAGATCTTACCCTTTGCACAAGGCGGTGATGGATCGCCACTTGACCAGTCGATCCAGTCGCAAAAGAACGGGACTTGATATGTTGAATATAGTGTGCTGGTTGGTGGTTTGGAACATTTGGATTAGTTTCCATTTCATCAAGGCTTAAGGCATCAGATTGCTTCAAAAATATGTGTGTTGAAATTGTAGATGTATATCTGGTTGGTGGTTTGGAACATTTTGTTTTTTCCATTTCATATATGGGATGTCATCCTTCCCATTGACGAACTCCATGATTTTTCAAGATGGTGAAATTGCACCACCAACCAGTGTGACATTAATAGAAGTTACCCTCAGGTAAACGAACTTCAAGCAATCACCAGCTTGAAGTTCGGTAAATCAACTATAAATGTGCCATTTTCCAATAGCGAACTGTTAAATTACCAGAGGGTAAAATACAGTATGTTGACGATTTTTTTAATACTATGGACCAAAACAAATCTGGTTATTTGGCTGGACCACGATGATTTTTGCTTGGGATTTGAGCAGAGTTTTTTTGGAAAATAGGATTGGAAAAGGACAGGGAAATAGAATTGGAAGAGAAATAGATTTCCTAAACTCCTCGTGTTAGGCAAGTTGGGGAAGTGAGTCACGGGTCATTTGCGTTTGGACAATGTTTTTTGTAACATGTACAGAATCCAACTGAAAATAGGCTATGCCCCCCAAAGGGCCATATTTTCATAGGAATTCACATTGGTTCACCATTGGATTTGGCAAATTTTCACCTGGCATACAGACGGATGTATCTATCTTCACGGGGATTCATCCATAATTCGCATGTTTTAAGGGAGATTTTTGTTCAAAGATCGTGGTAAAAAAAAATCCATCCAAATACATGGCAAACACCTGCAGGTGTGTGTTTTTTTCAACTCCATTCATCGGAAATTTGTTCCACTTATGTGTAGATTTTTCACTGAAATTCTACGGATCCAAGGCTTAAGGCTTAAGGCATCAGATTGCTTCAAAAATATGTGTGTTGAAATTATAGATGTATATCTGTTTGGTGGTTTCAAACATGAATTTTATTTTCCATTTCATATATGGGATGTCATCCTTCCCATTGACTAATATTCCATCATTTTTCAAGATGGTGAAATTGCACCACCAACCGGATATAAGTTGGGTTATAAATACAACATTATAAAGCCTATCACAAGAACATGTGGACAGCCATGTGGATTCATCGACGATCCATGTGGATTCATCGAAGAAGCCAATGTAAAAAAAACGCTGGGTCAGTGGATTCATCGACCTGGTAAACCATGGAAATACCATGAAAATACCATGGATAACCGGGGCTGTTGACTTAGATATAGCTAATCAACAAATATCAACAAATAGAATATGACAATGATATAGTCGATATAGTGATATTAAGAAAATGATAATGATATAGATATAGTGATATAAAAAATGATTAACCAGTTAGTCATGGGATGTTTTGGTTTGATTGAAAATAGGATGCCCCTAATCAATGGCAATTCAATGAGGGAAATGAGAATCAACAAGTGGATTTGGGTATACCCATTATACCCCACTTTCAGACAATCCCAATTGTCTGAGGTCTAGTTAGAATCCCGAAAGTACATATGGTTTATTTTTTGCACGGTAAGCCACATCGCTGGCACACGAACACTTTGATACTGGCATAGAGAAAAGCACCTGGGTCTTGGAAACACCTTGCAGCTTCCACATCACACTCACCTGAACGAAGCGACCATGTTGGCGTGATTTGTTTTTACGTTTTTTGGCTTCATAGCTTGATCTGTATCCTGGCTACATCTGGTTATTGCTGTTTTCAATTCTTCAAAGCGCAAGAAATGTGGGTTCCAATGCCTTTTCCCCTTGGCAAGGAATCGCCCAAGAAATCGGATACTCCTGGAATCAACCCTCTGGTTATTTAGCATAGCTACGGAAAATCGCCTTTTTAAGAGGTAAATATATATATATATAGGTAATATGGTAAATTATCCATATTTATGGACCATTTTAACCACTTTCGCTATGTAAGATAACCAGAGGGCCAGAGGTTAATGGATTACCAGAATTGTGTGCAGTTTTTTCATGTGTTTTCTATTCGGGTAGGGTCGACCCCAGTTTAGACAGGAAATTGGGAGATGATCAATTTGCTGATGAAGTTTGGGGCGAATCCCAGGCAGTAACTTGGAGCAGCTGGTGATGTCCTGGTTTTTTTCAGCGGGATATGCAGAGGGATACTCTGAGCGGCTGTACCTGACGTTTCTGGGAGAAAATTCTTTTCTGGAATGTTTTGGAATTTTCTGGATGATGTTGTAATTGTCTCGAATGTTTCGAAGTTGTTCTGGAATGAAACATAGGGAATGTCTTGGGAAGTTTCGGTATATGACTGGCTGAAAAGTATCTGTGTTGATTGAGTACCCTTATCCTTAAGAAATGTGTAAATGGTAAATGGCCCAAGCAAAATTCAGGCGGAAAATGGATGTCGAAATCTTGGAATGCCAGGCGAAATCTCGCAAGGACAGAGAAGACCATGGGGCTGGCGCCCATTTGAGCAATTAAGAATACCTCTGCTGATTGCTTGAGTTGGGGAGTTATACTAAGCGGCTTATTGATGCTTATTGGGGTTCATTTACAATTTACCAACCAGTATCGCTGGACGGGAATTTGTTCATGGCCCACTTGAAAAACAGTGTTTCAGCTGTTCGGCTGAGGGCTGTTGAATTTTCGGCAGGGCCCTTTTTTCACAATCATCTGGCGTTAAAATTTGGGCGTATACCTAACTCCTAAACTTAGATAACTAGTTAGTAAATGGATTATAATTGGGAGATAGGGGGTAACAAATCCCCAGTTGCTAACCATTTAGCTAATCCCATGGCCCATCAACCAGCTTCCCAACTGGTTCAACGATCCTGGGTGCTGGGCATGATATCGAACTACTTGGGCCAAAGAAATAGTTGGTTCCTTTAAAATCCTTGGACTATCAATCTGGCTAAGTTATTTATAACTCCAATAACTATGGTTTTTGTAGGTGATATATCGAACTAGTTAATGGGATTATAAACCAACTTATAACTGGGGGGCACCACCTTGTAATCTCCTTTTGACTTCTCGTTTTTGACCCTCTTATTTTTGATTCTTCGGAGCAAACCGAGAGTTCAAAAAACCGAGAGCAATTCCTCCAGTGAAACTGAGGAAAGACAGCCGGGGCAAGGTTGCAGCGGAGTATTTCAACACCGCGTCCAGCCAACCAGAGGCCCAGAAGAGCCAGATCTGATTGCCGCCATAGCTCCGGGTCAACGATCCCCGTCGGTCCACAAAAATTGGGGGGAGGACCTGCTGGATGGGACTTGGAAACCTGCTGGATTCACCGAAGGCCGCACAAGTCACCGTGACGTTATGGCATTGAAACCATCCCCAGTCATGGTAGGTTTATGATATTTTATGATTGGGTTTGTCACACAATTTGTCACACTATACTGCCTTTTGGTAAACCAGCAATGTTAAGCCACCAAGAAGATAGATGATGTCCTTTTGCCAGAAATTTTCGAGTCAAGTGAAATCCAAAACTTGATATCCGGAGGCAGCATGTCATTAACTGTCCTTACGGAGTTTGGTTGGCAACATTGTTCCATGTGGTTGGATCGAAGTTTCAGCTGGTGCTGCATGTAGTTTTTACCATCTCCTATCTTGGGGTATACCGAGAGGTATACCTCTGAAAATGCAGTACCCCATTCCATCCAAAAAAGGCTAACGGATTTTCAAACCCCCAAATATCCCCAGAAGTTCCCATCGCAGACACACCAATTAATGGTGAATCCAGAAATTTCAAAGACTTCAACCAGCATCCAGGAGGGCCAATGCGCGAAAATCTTCCTTTACCAACATGCAGATTTCCCTCAAATATTGGTAGACATGTAAAGATCCCATCCAATTCGACCGTCGGCTGAAGTGCCGAGTCATTCTGCCTAGCCTTGGGCTGCTGGAACGCATGGCGCGGAGTGCTGGACGGCATGCCGAGTGGTGTCACTCTTCCGTGGTCCGACGTGGTCAGGGCACATCAGGGCACCACGGAGGTTCAACATGCGTTCGCAAAGGCATGTTCCAGGGGACCATTCTCCGATCCTTTGTTGTTTCAGATAGAGTATTTTGTGGAATCGGATTTTTCAGAAAGGTTCTCTTGTGTGATGAGACCTTAATTGCACGCGATTCGGAGAAATCCATGTGGTAGATGTTTGACAAGTCTTGCTTCACGACCTCTGCAAGAGTGAATATTGGGCGGTACCGTCCTGATGTGGGTCACAATGACGTACTTCAGCAGGGACAGCATACTTTGCGAAGAAAAGGAGGAGCTCCAGCTGTCCAGTCCCTCTGTGGAATTTTCATGAATTCTCAGGATTCCCCAGCTGTCCACTTCCCTGTGTTGAAGGGGCTGATGATCAGGAGGCTGATAACGAGCATATATCATGTGGGTGTTAGTGCGGATGGTGATCATGACGGGAAAATATTGGACATAAAATGGATGACACTTGGACAATGTTGGACAACCGCAGCATGTGTAGCTTAGATAAGCCCAAACCAAGTCGGACCCCGGGAAGCTGCGTCTCGCAGCACGAGCCCTGCAAACTTTCCGCGGGTAGAGAATCTCTACCTTGTTGCCACAGCACCCTGTGCACTGTAGAAAAGAAAAACGGCTCAATGGCCTAAAAATGCCGTTGGGCTTCCTGAGGTCCAAATTTCATTCTCCAAATCGCTGTAAAAAATAGCCTTGAACAAATCGAAAGGTGAACATTCAATAGATAAAAACTAACACGTCACATCACGTCACACTGGAGTTCAACGGGTGTTGAAAAATTGTAGATCCGTACCTCATTGTGTGGTGTGTGTGTGTGCGCAGTCAGTTTGCATGGGCCAACGTTGCAGCACTGAAAGGCTTAGGTACAAGATGCAGGTGACAGAAGAGGTTTTGATCTGCTTGACTATCTTTACATAAAGATGAACAACGATGATTCTTTTTCATGCTGATAATGCTGTTGTTGAAGTTGTGGTTGTTGTTGGTGATGACGATGACGATGACGATGACGGTGACGGTGACGGTGATGGTGATGATGATGATGATGATGATGATGATGATGAACATGAACATGAACATGATCATGATCATGATCATGTTGATGTTCATTGTGATGATCATAGTGACGATCACGATGGTATAGTTGGTGTCGATGGTGTAGATGATGTGTACGTGTATATACACACATATGTAGACATATGTAACATTATGTAAATATGTAGATAATTGTAGATATATGTACTGTGGATATATGTAGATATTTGTAAATATATGTAGATATATGGTAGATATATGTAGACATATGTAGATGATGTAGATAATGTGTATCTAGTTATATATATATGCAGATAGATGTACATTTAGATGATGTAGATGATATAAATATAGATGTTATAGATTACCTAGATGGTGTAGATGGAGTAGATGATGTCGATGGTGTCAATGATTATGTAGATGATGCCGATGATGGTGTAGATGATGATGTAGAATCTGCAGTTGATGATGTTGATGTTGATGATGTTGATGATGTTGATGATGATGATGATGATGATGATGATGATGTTCATGTCCACGTTCATGTCCACGTTCATGTCCACGTTCATGTCCATGTTCATGTTCATGTTTGTGGATGCATGTACATATTTTGTGTGTGTTTGTGCAGTCACATATTCGTTTGCTTTAGGATTACCTGCATTGCAGCGCTTTGTTCGAGAGTCAAGTCCCGAAGTCAAGACTTATCTGGCTTCAAGACTTATCTGGCTGGAATCCGGACCTCTTCCCATGTTCTGCAACGGGGCATGATCCTCTTGAGCATTGATGTGTATGACAAGGAGTCCCAATTCGGGGACCAGTAGGGTCGGTGTTCAAACAGATACGTGTTCTTGCCATGTAGACTCCGAGATAGGTGTTGAGAAGTGGTAACTTGGTGATGTTCACAGTTTCTTAAATGGGATCCATTTGAAGGATTTATACTGTGGATGTAAGAAATCCTGCACCAGCTGGTAGATGGTTTATCCCACTACAATCCCAGTATGTACAGTGTTTCATACAGCTACCAATTGGTGCAGGATTTCTTCCATTCGCAGTATGGATAGACTGTGATGATTCCTCAAATGAGGACCGCTAGGACCTTTGGACCTTCAAATAATCCCAAAAGCTCACGCAGCTCACGAACTATTGAAAGAAAAACGGAAGTGTGTCAGATCGTAATTTAATAGTACCTCATTCATAGTGAATAACACTCTCCAGATATCTGGCGTTGTTTGAACATCGGGTGCACCTCAATTCCCTATATTTATATCCATTTATGGCAACGGGTGGTCGTCAAAAACCGGGCGAAGTTTGTCCTCAAAAGGCTGATGCCCCTTGTTCCGGCCAGAAGAGGCCGATGTGCAAACGACGCTGTCTGTTAAGGACGCGCTGGCGGCCACGAGCTGATTCGCTGGCTCTGAAGCGCTCGTGACGATCTGGCCGAACGTTCGCCTGGGATTTCAGCAGATCAAATCCGCCAGGTTTTTTTTTTGCATGTCCAACAATGTGGTAAAGAAAATGAAGCCAATTACCTACCTCCAAGGTTGATTCTTAGGTCAACCATTGGTATCATCGAATCTTGAAGGGTCATCCCATTCGGCCTTAAGATGTTCCCAGGGTCCGTAGTGTTACTACGTGGTACTTGGCGTGCGAAAAAATATCCTAGTTGCGATTGATTGTGTGTAAAAGTTGCACCAAGTGGGGATGGGTCAAAACCTATGATTACATCATATTACATAGTATTATATATCACCATATTTGGGGGAATAACCATTAACCAGCTATGACTTAGGTTTCCATCCGGGTACCCAGGCTTTTGACACCAAACCCTAAAGCAACGATGACCCCTATTGACTCATGCTAACAAAGCATCCAATTAATTTATCATGTTTCAAACAAACCATCCATTTCTTGGACCGGATCCCCAATGTCAGACCGTGGTCCCCAGTCTCTTTCAACTGCAAGGTCTTTAATTTAGACCCGTAGCGATTTGGAGGTGTCCATGAGGACTGGATGATTGGGAGGTAGCCCTATTTTAACTGAAACCCCCCATGTATGAATAATATATTAAGCATATACTTTTTTTTTAACCCTAGTATTAACCATAGATACCTCCATAAACTGATCATATTTGACCTTAGCGACCCGGGTTAATGTGTTGGTTGCTGCAACGCTGACATCACATGCTGGCGCACGGCCACTCCCACCAACCCAGGAGCTTGGAAAATTTGGAAACAATCCAAGGAAAGCTGGGCCAAGATTGCCATCATTTGGCTCGACTTAAACAACGGTCTGTCTGAAAATTGGAAATACCATCGAATTCTGTCTGAACAGTGGAAATACCATGGAATATGTATCAATAATTATTAATTATTACCATCTGGTTCTTTAACATAGCCGTGGAAAATCACCATTTTTAATAGGTAAACCTCTATAAATGGGCCATTTCCCATGGCTATGTTAGTCATAACCAGAGGGTAATATGTTCGGTTGATGGCCGTGTTCATGGGGAAAATCACTGTTTTCAGACAGACGCTACTGCGTTCGCTCGCGACACTCTCTGCTTGGCAGGGGCGTCGCGACGCAGGTGGTCCTTCGACATGTCGTGCTGTCGTGAAATGTCGTGAAGTTGGTTACAAACGGAATGGTATCAATTTATATCAATTTGGCAGCATCCCACAATTTGACATCATATAACACCATTCTTGATGTTTGGTATCATGGGTATCCCCATGGTGAGTTTCAATGGATGACCGTGCCCCAGCTCGTGCCAGGATCCCATCGGCGCTGTTTGCAATGGGCCCTAGCATGGTCCAACTGATCTTAGGATCTTACCAAAGCCTCAGTTGATTTTCATAGGTGCTACTGGGTCGATGTATTTTTTGGGGGGATTTTTTTGTCAACTTGAAGTCCTCCTATTTCTAGGAAAATCAAGTATGAAATAGTACTTGAGATAACTGGGTCGATCTATTTTTAAGGGGAACACCCCAACCCTCAAAAAAAGAACATTGGTTAAGTCTTACGAGTTCACGGTGAAAGTATCCCGATGGAAGATTCTCCAGCAAGCCACGTGGATTACCAGAGGGAGATCATAGTTCCGGGTTGCCAAGCTCCGTAAACCTCACTATCCATCATGGTTTGCAGGAACTCCAGTCAGATTTCGAAGATCATTGCTTTCGCTGATGTCAGTCTGTGAGGTATTCGGATTTCACAGGATTTGCGTCCGCAATCCTTGTATTCGCGCTAGCACTAAATGCATTGCCGGAAGGGCGTTCTCTGGGACCATCAAGA